GTTAGTCTATTACTTCAGTCGTTAGATAGGTCACTATCATATCAATCATAATAATAATAAGGCTTAGCTAACCCGAAAGTTCGATGCCAATACCACCAATCGAAGTCCACATTCTTCCCTCCACGGGACTCCGTTTAAACCCAACCCTGCCAAATCAGCCTTAATGCAATCTACCCTCCTTCGCTTGTAGATTGCATTAAGGCTTTTGGATATGAGAGGAAACCTCTTGGACGCTTGCCAGTCGGTACAGCGCATATTAATTTTTTAGGAATACTTTTGTTGCTAAGCCCATCGATTTTACATGCCCATTTTATTTGCCTCAATTTAAATCACCTCAATTATATTAATGCATATCAATCATACTGTCCAATAATCAAGTGTGTCTAAAAGCATATAAAAGCAACAAGTTTTCCGTATGTCCCTTACCTCAACTGAAAAAGACCCACTGAATAGTTTTCCAAAATATGGGTAAAATAGATAAAATTAACTTAGCTGGATCAGATAAAAATTTTACCTTTTATTCTACTGTTTTTTTCGGAGTACTTATTAACATTTTATTATCCAGAAAAAGGTGTTATCAATTAAATATTTTTGGTATAAATTAATACTGTACCAAAAAAAAGTTAAAAATGACTTGATAAAAATTGGGGCCACTCATCTTGCCGGAGTGCCATACATAACATGTTATTTGCAATAGTGTCCACAAGGAGATTTGTGATAGTTCTGCTTTATAGTCTTTCTTAATGGGTGATTTGATCTACAATATTAGTAAAGTAAATTTTGAACTAATTGTGCTCAATGGTATATCCCTGTACAAATGTTTCAATATACCAAGTTCAGCATGTACAATGACCGAAGACCAACCAGGATCATTCACAGCCTGTATAAAAATAATGGAAACCTTTAATTGGAGTAGAAGATAATTCCTACAAATTAAGCAAGGATACTGACATCACCTCTCTGTATAACAATTGATTATGATATAGTACATCCTTTCAAATCATTGAACTAGAGTCTTTATGGGTGGGTTGTAGTGTTACAAATTTTATTTACTCATAATGGTTATATCCATTATTGTTTTCACCCAGACTGAAAGCCAATCATAAAATATGCAATTTTGTTCACTAATTCTTTTACCTTTTCTCTTTCACGATTCTATCGCATATATCTTTGTTAATAGATATTTCGAGATTTTTTTCCTGAACATAAAATGCAAATTGGTGAGTTAATTGAAGCATTTAAATAATTAAGGTCTATAATCTTGCAGGTTAAATAATCTTGCAGGAACAAAATTAATTTACCTTATTGGTTAATCATTTCTTTCTATAAATATTACTTCCTAACTACTAGAGTTTTCTTAATCATTTTACTCCATCCTTTATTATTCTTTTTTTTAATTTCTTAAACTATTAAGGTTGTTAAATTATTTAGTTAACATATAATTTTTTTTTGTTACAGATGAATCTAGCGAAGAGGCCTAAAAAAGTAAGCTAATGGTTTATAGTTGTTTTAGAGCAGTATGCTTCTGTAATATTGTAAATGAGTAATAAGAAATTTTCTTACTTATACTCTAATACCGAACCTTATAATCTAGACTGATATTTAAAAAATATTTCAGTGGTTATATTATTAGCTTTCTGTCAGCAAATAAGTTTTGAATTAAAAAACAAAACAAAAAAAAAAAATTTGGAGCAGCTAATTATAGTAATTTTAAGCATTTTGGGCAAATGTATTCAATCAATTTTCACTTTCTAGTTTTATATCTTTATATCTTGTGTATTGTTAAATTTATTAATTCAAAAGCATTGCTGAATGCTATCAATTCATTAAGGAATCTAGCAAAAGTGCCCGAGATAATTAATGTGAAAATCTTTATTTTTAAATAATTCAGGTTGCATAGTTATATTTATTATAAAAATGGTTTGATATACTATTAGAAGAATAATAGTGTTCAACCACATCGTTCATGAAATGAATTTTCTGAAGAAAATTTTGATGAAAATAAGTTTATGTATTTTTTACAATAAAGATTATTTATTTATCAAATGATTTTTTTTTTTACTGCTAATTTTTGTTAAGCTAATTTTTCCTGTTAAAAGAACAATAAAAATGTTGATTTTCCTGTTACATTTTTTCTCCATTGTTTAATAGTATAATTTTTAACCACTGTATATATCCACACCCTCATATAAATGTATTAATTAAAACACCTCGATAAAGAAGTTTAACTGGAAAGTTCATGTTTTCAACATTATTTTTAAAAATACTCACAAAGAAGTGTAGTGGTGGTATACCTCATGAATTATTTTCTGCAGGTTTTCTTACGGCCATCTAAAGGAGCTGTTTGATATAATACAAGCAATTAATATATAGTATCAACCTTCTCTGGACTTCTGACTTTCTCTATATTTAGGGCATTAACTTTTTTTTAAAATTATTATTATTAAGTTGACAAAAATTGTATCTATATACACTGTGCCATGGTACAAGTACTAAGTAAATATAGCTGGAAGAAATAATAGAGGCAAATGTTTAATTAACCCACTTTGTTATTAGAATGTAATTTATTTAATAATAAAATAATCCATCGCTCAACTTGGTCCCTTATAATCCTACATGGCTTGGAAACACCTTTTCAACCATTAGTTCTGTATATTTTCAACCTTGCATTTTACTATATTTCTCATCTTTTAATATTTTATTCACTTTTCACAACTTGTAAAATGTTTTATTTTTATATAGATGTATATATATCGTTCAATTTGAAGAACAGTACTCTAATACAAACATTTTTCCCTTTCTTTATTGGCCTATATTATAACCTTTGAGAAAAAGTTCTTATTTTTTATTTGAATATTAAGTGGAATAACAATTTATTTTTATTTTATTAGATGAAAAGCTGCCAAAAATTGATTCATATTTAAATTATTAAAAAAATGAAGATTAACTTTTTTTCTTTCAACAAATAAATTAAGTATATTGACTAATGAAATTATTAGTAAACACATTAATTAAGTGTCTCGTAATTATGACTATGCTCACTGTTTCAAACTATTGTTAAAGTTAACAGTGTTAGTATTTTTAAAAAGAAGATTAATCACAACGAGTTAATCTTGACATTTTTAGATTTTATTTATACCTTGACCAGTTATCGAACGCTAAGCTGAGGAGAGAGAAACAGGGATAGAGTGGTGGAAAGGGGACAGCCTTTATTTAATAACTGCTCAAGGAATATTGATTTACTTTTTGGTTCAAACTTTCATCATCATGACATGTATTATCAAAATCTATAACTGACTTCCCTGTATTATTGTCACCCGTGTAGTCACACAAACACCATTGATGTTTATTGTAATTAATGTTGGGAGCCCATTAATTATCATGTAAAGCAGCTTATAATAAGTTATACATTTGTGGTATGTCAATGATTCTACATTATGAATAACCTAATGTATTTTTATTTAGATATTGTCAAGAAATTAAAACCTAATCACTCCAAAAATAAATTTTATCTCTATTAGCTATACCTTAGCAACTGTCAGAAATATATTTTTTGTATAATTTGTGAGAGGAGTGCACTGTGTGTCTGTCACCAATTCTGATCAAAATTATTCTAATGATTCTTCTAAATTGAAAAGAATCTTGCCTCATTGCCTGTTTCATAAAACGGGGTTTGGAAGCTGATAAAAAAACATGCTGAAACTGTTTTATTTTATATCTCAGGTTTGGAGAATTATATCGATAAGGTTTTGTCAATATATGCCATCCAAAAATTTCTTATATCATAAGAAATATAAAAACATTTGTGATCAAGAAATGACAAGTTTTGGAGCTATCCAGTTTTTTAAAAAAATCATTGAGGAAACAAGATACTAATCATCAGAATGCAATGTAATTTTGTTACTTTAAAATTTTTTATTACCCTTTGAACTGTAAAAAGAATTCTTCTGTTTTCAATTTAAAAGTGTTCTAGAAATAGAAAAACCAACTTATTCTGGGACAATGTCCCTCAAGAATAAAATTATCAATTCTGACCATAAGACTAATTACATAAGAATTTAAAATTTTAAAGAATTAAAATAAATACTTATAAATTGCATTATGATAAATAAAAATATCCTTTCGCTTTTAGTCTGAAAAAATCTGCAAGACAAGTTAACTTAATAATTCAAACATGTTTTAATTTTATTTGATCAAATAGCAATAATTTTTAATGTTTGTATATTTTCTTTAATCTAATCTAAAAAAAATAATGTTTTAGGGGTAGAGGTTTCAGCATGTTTTATTACTTCTTTTTTTTTTCAACTACCGTGGCCAATAAGACGTCATATTTCAATATAGAATGGCTAGAAAAATTTAGAATATGGACACACCTGGCACTCCCCTTATTGATTGCTTTATAGTTTGAGCCTTTATTACTAATAACGTATCATCTATAATATTCTCCTCTAGTAACCAACATTAATTCAGTAAACCTTATATAAAAATTACATTTTCATATTACCCATTAGGTGAAAATCAATTATTCAATATTCATGTTGTTGTATAAAGTGTTTAAATTATTTGATTGCAACTGCCTCATTTTTGACAAAATAAAATTGTGATCTTAATTTTTCTTTATCACTTTAATAAAAATTTTCATACCAAACTGTTAGTGATAAAGGTTTTATATAATACAAAATCCCAGCAGCTTAGGCTAATTTTAAATAAATATTGAAAATAATTAATACATGATCTACATTTTATATATAAATGCTCTTATATTTTCTTTAATGATGTGTAATTTTTATATTAATTTATATTTCCTTCAGTTTATGAAAGTATCGTTAATATCACAATTCCGAACTAAGTTAAAATATAATTGTTTTCATTAAAAAGAGAAAAAACAAAACAAAGCATATTTAACAAAATAAACTCATTAAAATAAATAATGAACTAAGGTTGAAAAGAACCAAAGAATAGGAAAGGGCCGAGTTGATAAAAAATTAAACACTAGACATTTGAGGAATGTTAAAAATAAATTTATATTCAATCTCATATATGTTATATAATGTAATAAGCCATATAAAGGAATAACAAATTATTACTTTAATTACATGTTTTGTTGTTCAGCTATTATCAAGCTCATTGGTTAAGGTATTTGGTAATTTCAAAAGTAGAGATAATTGATGAATTTTACAATTATTGACAACCAGGTAAATAATTTGGATTTGGTAAATTTTATAATATTTATAACCTGTGGTAAAGCTATGCTTAATTTGTGATTGAAAGTTTCTCTTAATATTACAATTAAAATACTTATTACAAGTTGAAGTATGGTGGCCTTGAGGCACAAATTATTTCAAATACAGTGAATGAGAGATAATTATGTCAACTGTATTTATTATAATGGAAATGGAAAGTGTATATAAATATTCAGTTTCTACATAAACAGTACAGTATTTAGTGTGCTGTTATCATCTGAACATATTAACATTCACAGAGCATTTAGGAGAAAGACTGATTCCATAATTCAACAGATGAACTGTGATATATTTACATGTGTATTTTTTTACTATATACATTTGTTATTTGCCGACTAGGCACTAAATTGGCCAGCTTTTGAAATAAATCATTTGAACTAAAGTATTTTTGCTAATAGGTATTTAGTATTAGTTAACAAAGTTAAATTCTTATAAAAACTATACATTACCAACAATATAAACACACTCTATATAATTATTTAGGTCCATCAATAATGGCAGTGGCAAGCGTTTGCCCTTAATGAATTTATGAATATTTGTCTAGTTAAATGACTATTAATATATATTTGAAATATATGTATACATAAATTTGTATGTATACATGCACTCCTATACATATATATTTATATTTATAAAAATTAAAACATGAAGTAATTCAAATAGAACTAAGTAATATAAGAGAAGTTTGCATACATTGAAAAAAATAAGATATAATAAATGAAGAATTATGGTGCCAGTCTTAACAGAGAATAAATGGATTATATTAAATCTTGGTACCATTTTAATCGATATTTTGGAGGTATTATTGCAATTTCAATAATAAAATGGAACATCATTCAAAAGTGGTAAAAACAGCGAAAAGGTACCTGAAAACAACATAAAAACTGTAATGTGCACAGTTGTGTATTATTTACAAGTATACAAAATTGATTGGTAGTACTGATTTCAGCATAGTACTGAATAATAACAACATTTCAATAAAAATAATATATGTTTACCAACACATACATATTTACAAATACCTACTAGGTATACGATGTTGAATTGGCAAAATTTTAAATTTTTTTAAAATTTACATAGATAGAAAAGTATTTTTTTCACATAATAATTATGTATAAATAATCTCAAGCCTGACCAAAGTAATTGAGGTTAATTTTTACAATTGTTACAAACTCCACTGGACAGATGAAGCCGTTTGAATTGCAATAACCAATGCAATAATAGTACTTAATTTTAACTATATGCATACATTACAGGAGATTGTAAAGAATGCAGTCTCTTACAATCAGTCATGAGTATAAAACTTGAAACTGTTGCTATTAAAGTAGTACAGTTAAAAACAAAATGAACTCACCAACAGTAATAAGGCAACTTGTCATGATTACTAATAATTTAATACAAGTAAGTTCGGGAGAATTTCCCGATGAACCGAGCAACAGGATATTGCCACTTAGGTAGTAAAAAAGAAGTCAAATCAACTATACAGTTGTCTAAGAAAATAGCTTTGAAGAAATGTTTCCAAATCAGACAAATTGACAATGAAAAATAGATTAACATAGAACCAGCAGCAAAAATATAGAGAAAAAACTATTTTAAACTACATCTTCCCTGAGGGAAAAAGAATTATAATAATAGTCGCTCGAACACACATCACTCACATGCTTAATTATAACTATATAAAGTCAGCTAGTTGAGACCGTTGTGTCCACGGCCAATCGGCATAACTGAGCACCAATAAAAGTACACGAGTTCTCATTTGTCATCGAATAATGTCTTACTAGATATATATCACAGAAAATGAAACAAAATAACCCAATCACTGTGTAAAGCACTTGAGGGGAAGTCAGAGATGACTGTGGCAGTACTGAGAGCTAGGCTGTGTGGGCCCTCATCCAGCATAAACCAGCCTCCAACAAGTTACTGAAATATCATAATATAGTATTAAAACAAAATATTGTTTTTAAAATAATATATTTTGAGAAATATACTTAACTCAATTAAAATATATAACATATATTACTGACTAAATATACTATCAATTCTCTTTATTTTTTAGCTTCACTAAATAAACAGAAAACATTTTTTAATAATAGGTTTAATAATTACTCTTCTGATGTGCAAATCTTCAGATAAAATCCTCTGGATTGAACTCCATGATATTCCAGACATCTCACAGAGTTGATCAATAATTCGACAACAGTCTTCACAAACGAGAGCATTGTACGTACATGCACAAACATTTTTGTCACTTCTTGACGTTGAGGGGAGTCTCGCACGGAGTTGGTCTTCAATTTACATTTCCTCATTTTTAAAACGTGAAAACTACTCGTGGACTCTGGTTTTACTTAGGGCAGCATCCCCATAAGCAGTTTTAAGCATTATAATAGTTTCCGCAGCCTATTTCCCCAACAGAAAACAAAATTTCACAGCCACGTATTGTTCTCATTAATCGGCCATCATGTTTTCGGCGAAATGGAAAGACTGATGCACTCATAGTGACACAACTTCGCACACTAACTCAGGACTCCTGAGGGATGGGTTGAATCTCTTGGAATTGGGCCTGATAGTGGAACCATTAAGAACTGTTCCAATGAGGCCTGTTTATTGGCTCCAGTGGAACCATTAGGCTGTGGTGCGCTCACTGATTGACTTGTTAGAAACTATTTGACAGAGGACTCCTTATTGGTTCTAATGGACCTGTTTGAAACCATTAAGCTTAGAGATACTTAGGGACTGGTTACACATTATGAGTTGCTGACCTGACAGTGGACAGCTACTGTCCCTGTGGTCTCGTGTGACAGTTGCTGGATTCCCCTCTCTCCATGGTCACACAAGTGGGAGCTGCAGGTAGGAAAGTAGACAGCTACTGCACCTGTGTACTTCTTTGCAAATGTTGTGCTGTGTGCTATTATGAAACATGTGTGCAATGTTGTCACAAAGTACACATCTGATCATAGTTCATATTGTCATAAAAGCGATTTCAAAAGTACTATGTGCTAAAATACTTCGAGCTGAAAGTGCTAAAAAAAAGAAGAATAAAAACTGAATGATTTGAGTCAGGAATTGTATGCAAAAGGAAAGGAGAAACAGATACAGTATTTAAAGAAATATATAATAATCACTGAAATACAAAGCAGTGATAAGAGTGGTCTGCACTTCATCTATCCGTCATTTTTACAACCATCACGGATGCTACTTACTAACCTACTCGTACTCACACATGACAGTTACTCGTATGATGGGGTCACACAGTGTGAATAGCTGCACTGCAGTAACTGACTAGGCCAGCTTGGATGCTAGCTTGCACTGTGTAACCAGCCCCTTAGTAGGTCCAGTAGGGGCATTTGGAACCATTAGGCCCAGGGCTCCTTATTAGGTCTAGTTAAAACTTAAACAGCTTTTATTCTCTTTATTTTTAAATGATGCTCAGTGAGCATCCATCTTGATTATCTCCTAACAAAGCTGAAATGTTACTATTTATAAATTCCTTATTTAGTTCTCTTATTATTAATAATTGGAAGGAGATGATCCGGGGTGACGGTCATAAATGGGCTAAATAGTGGCAAAACTATTTTATTAAAAGCCTCTATTTATGACGGCCACCCCGGCCCGGACCATCTCCTTCCTTTATAATGCAATGGTCAACTATTAAATATTCAATATTATTAATAATTGTTTATTGAAGTAATTATTAAATTTCCAACAAGTTTCTAATTAAAAAGAAAAAAAATGTTCAAAATCAGCATTAAACTGAAATTCATCATTTCACTAAATTTCCTATAAAATGTATTCCTACCATTATATAAGTTGAAAAGCAAAAGTCGTATTATTTATTGCCCATTTTTAACCTACTAACCTTAATAAAAATTTCTTTATCTGATATTAGATATTGAATTTTTTTTTCACATCTACAAATAATGAATTAAGAGTAAGTCCGTGATATTTGGATCTATATAAATCTTAAACATTTAAATGTAAATACCATTTAGCCTACTATTTAAGTAGGTAACCCCGTACAGAAGATTTGGACCTGGAGAACTGTTCCAAACTTTAATGATTCCAGCCCATCCCTACTCAGGAGACATGTCCCTAACGGACACTGAGTCCAGCAATGGATTCTACCACTCTCCCTCCCCACCGCAGCCCAATTCCCATTGTTTTTGGGTTCCCCTGGTATATATGTACTTATACAAAAATATTGAAAAAATTAATACAGTAAATTAATTAATTAATTCTTACATTATAGTGTAGAGTCTGACAAAATTCTACATAGTTCTAATGATTGGAAAATATTTCTCGAAACATCAACATGTAATGTTATGTGACAAATAAAGTAAATATATAAATCACAAAGTAAGTTATAATTACAACTTTATTAGTATAGGGAGCAAAGTAGCTCAGTGAGTTAGGCATTGGGCTGATAAGCTCAAGGTTCTAGGTTTGAATCCAGCTGATCTCAATTAATTTTAGGAGATGGAGAGGCCGAGCAGGCTAATACATGTGCTAAAAACACATGCTTGGCAACCTAATAAACTGAAGTTTGAATGATATAATAATTACCAATTCGCAGCCCTGTGCAGGGTGAGCTTGTAATTTTGCCATTAACCGCCCTCTCACTCTGGCCTGAGAAAAACTCTGTATTGCCTATAAGGTGATAAAGGGGCGAATACAAAAAATAAAAACCTAATTATTATAACCTAAAACTTCACAACAGAAATAAAAAATTACAGCCACTGAAACAAAACATGAAATTTTACAAAATGAAGCTTAAGAACTCCTTGACTGTCACACATCATGGAATAGGTGTAAAAAAATATAGCAACGAGGAAAGGTCCTTGGAATAAAAGTTTGTTAGTAAAAAGTTTGGAAGTCATTCAAGAAATCGATTAAGATTTTTCCATTGTCTTATTAAAAAAATTAGAGAGATAACAAATCACAAATTTGATGAGTAAAATAGTTAATTGTTTAAAATATCATATGCTCCATTAGCCCAGATAGAGAATCTTGAATAAAATGATGAACATCTTTTGAAACAACTAGTATAATATAAAATTACCTGTTAGGGGCTGGCTTGTAGCAAAGGCTAGCACCAATCATCATCATCTGAATCTGAATGCCTATCACAGGGCTGGGGTGGTTTATAGCCATTAGGTACAGGGGAAGGAAGGATCCGCCCGCCGCGCCCAATTGCTACTGCCTGCTCAAAGCTCATTGGCCCAGGGTAACCAGTTCTTGTTGGAGAGGCGTTGAGCTTAGGGAAGTTTATAGATGCAGGCCTGAGCTGAAGGGTACTTGGTTTTGAAGGAGTAGGCGGGAGTCGACGACCGTGTCCCCGCCGGGCAACCAGCACTGGGTAACTATGCTGGTGGTGATGGTGATGGTGGTGGTGGTGGTGATGGGCTGGTCTTGGTGATGGAGACCTCGACCTTTGCTCCAAACTAGTTGTACCATATTGTGCTCCCACACGACGTGGTTGGTGCTCATACCGACCGGGGCTAGGCGACCGTGCTGGACTCGTTGAAGCTGACCATGATCCTTTTTTAACAAAAACAATTATTAGACATTAACGAATATAAAATATAATCTTAAAGAATTAAGATATACATTATTAAAATAATAACAATATAGCTATTGAAAAGGAGAAGGTTACTTTCAAACTTTTAGCTATATAAAAAATGTTTGATTGTTTTTAAGCATGCTAATAAGAAAAATCTTAAATCATTACTATCACTCCAAAATATTTTCAATAAAAAAAAAAGATAAAGAAACTTTCAACTGGTTTAATATGGTGTATTGAATCATTCACTTGAACAATGACTACCAACTGTTTGATATTTCAGAAATATATATGAAGTAATTCTTAGAGTCTTTTCACTATAGTTGAAATGATATGTTAACAAATAAATGTTTAAAAAATGAACAAAAATGATGTAAATAAATAAAAATTAAATATATAATTTTTGAAAGAAGAATATGAATAAAAAGCAACATTCACATTGAAAATCAATATTCTACTTTATGGAGGAAATAATACATAAATAAAACCAGGTTTTTATTTTCAGGTTCTTGAACAGATTTAAAAAAAAAATATTGTCTTAAAAAAATCTTAGGATGTTTATAATTTTAATTATGATATAATATTATAATAATGTAAACTTTGATATTAATTTTATTTTAAAATTTGAATAAATATCGTGTAAGGTTTTAAAATAGTTCAGGATCTTAATATTTTATTAAATACAAAATAATGGATTTAATAAGTTAAAACAGAAGGTGAATAAGTTTAGTCAGAGGCTGCATGATTCTATAACTAACTCGACTATTTGAGTGTAAGTCAAAATTTCTTTTTAAGGTATGCAGTGAAATAAAGAGCAACTTCCAAAGGCCTTCCGACTTGAGAATGATTTGCATTTATGTCTTGAGAAATGTAATTAAAACAAAAAAAAAATCAACTGTATTTAAAAACAAAACAATTTTTAATTTAAATATAAGAAGGGGAAAGAAACTCTTGCATTCAATTTGGTATTATCATAATAAGGTTGTGAATAAATGTTAGTACAATTAGAACAACCTCTATTAATTCTGGAAGAAATTCTAGTAAATATTTATTCATAAGGGTGTTTTGAAAATTTTTAGAGTAGAAATTAAATAAGGTATAGATTTGGGCTTCCTGATGACCAATCTAAACATCAGATAGTAGTGTTTTTCAGATGGTAGAGAATAGAAAAACATTCATGGTGCTAACTATTTTCTATCGCAATGAACTTCACCAACATTTTCAATGTTATTCAAAAGATATATTTATATTATGTTTGTACAAACAGGAATAATAATAACAATAATAATAATCATTTTAAAAAATGTATACTTCCATGAAATTATACTTATTTTTTAATTCATCATAGAGTACATTACTAAGGACCTATATGAATAGGAGAGTTTATTAAACTGGTTAAGGAAAAAAGTAAATTAAATATAACTTGAAAGAGAATAAACTAACAATGAAAATTATGTATTCAGTCAAACAAAGTAAAAAATGATCATTGACAAAAATTGAGGAGTTGGTCGCGGGTACAGTCAAATTAAATTCTATACATTATAATAGTATTTAATTTGACCACACCCCCAACTAACTCCTTCTCAAATTATAGTCACAGTCAACTATCTCCACACCATTATTGATACATATTTATTCATGTAACACGACTTTCCTTTTAATATCTAAAAAGAAACTTTGAAATAACTATAAAAGGTTGAAAGTAACCAAAAATTAACTAAACTAAAAATGTACAATAGAAATATCAAAAGAAATCATGCAACAAGACAGGACTAAAAATTATCAATTAAAAAGGGTAGAATAATCATGAGTTATTATAATAAGTTATTATAAGTAATTGAACTTTGTTTAACAGCATATTTAAAAAGAATATTTCTAGGTAATTGAAATAACTGAGCATATTTGTATGCAAAATTCCATGTTAATCTAAATGTATTTGTGAAATCTATTCAGCTGCCATGTTGAACATTTAATTTGTATATAGCAATCTTTCCATGTTAGATTAACGTTACATTGTTTGTAGTTTGTCTTCTATTTTTATTTATTTATTTTACAAAACATGAAAACTAATTGTATAAAAAGAACCTAGTAAATCTAAGTCTAAAATAATCATTTCTCATGCTGAGATAGAAGCATATTTGCAGAAATTCAATAAAAAGAAACTCAGCAGGCAATCCAATAAACAAAAGGATTTGTTTACAAAATGGGATTAGCTATTGGAGAAGAAAAAAAAATTAAAGATATTGAAACAAGGTCAGAAATATAAATTTATTTGTGGATGTATGCGTTTGTGTATTTTTATAAATGTATATTTATAGCAAATGTGTAATATATATATAAACAAAATAATTATCTAAACTCTGTATCATTCCTAATAAACATTTAAGTTTAACTGTACAAAAAAAAATTCAAATTTATAACAATTAAAATTAGTTATTAGTAAATTAAAGTAAAAGCAAGTAGTCTAAACACATCTGTCTCTTTGTCGACAAAGTTGTAGCAATACTTGGGGGACATTTAATTAATTATTTTCATAAATTAATACAAATACATCAAAATGAAATCTAAGTGTTCCATTTATTTAATTTTAATTTTATTGTGTAGGCATGAGTGTGTATGTGTGTAAGTATGGTGGCTACATAGTAGTTGGCCAAACTGAACTATCTTACAGTAAATTTGATGCAGAATAAAAATGTTTCCATAAACATGGATTTTAAAACATTTCAATATAAAAAGTCTAAAACTGTCCATTCCATATTAAATTTTACATCAAATGAGATTTAAGATTAATCGATTAACATTTCATATTGTTATGTGAACAATTTTCAGACGTTTCTTTCCTTCCTATTTCAATTTTGACTATTTCTTTATTTTGGAGTAGGTCTATATTAGAAGAAAAGAGGATTTCTGGACATCAAGATTGGTGTTCTCGGCGAATTTCCTTTTATTCAAGAAGATTCAATTTGCCGTGTCGAATATCTTTCCACTGGGTCCAAACTCTCTTTGCTCTCATTAATAATTCCATTTAGATCCAAGTGAGCTCCTGGGATATTTATAACATCTACCCTTCTCGAAGGGTTTATCTTTGATTGTTATGACTAAGATTACTTGTTGAGGCATACATATTGTGGGTTCAGATCCACATCATTTTATCAAGGGTGCTATCATGTTGATTTTTTTTCTTATTCCGATTGGAAAATTATTACATTGTAGTTCACTGTCAAGGGTTAATATCAGCTCTAAAGCCATCTAGGTATAGATAACTGGTCATAATTGTTCCAAAAATAAATTTTAAAAATGTACATTTCTATTTACACACTGAAGCATTTGAGGTCCATGCTCACACACTGTACTGTATGGATCAAATTTCTATTACTTTTAAAAATTCATTATAAATCATAACATGCAAAAAATAAAATAAAATTTCTTTAATCTATATGATTACTCCTCCCTTCTCTTCCCAGGAATGTTACTTATCAGTTGGTATTCAGTTATATTTGGATTGTATTAGCAATTTTTCATGTATCCCTACAATGAGGGTAACCTAATTTTGTTTTTTCCTTAATCAAATATTTGGAGGTGGTGTTCAGAAAATAATTTTATTGAACATAAAATTACAAAATATTTTGACCAACTAATTTGCAGCCAAACTGAATAAATGAAATTTTGTTAATCAAAGATAAAGCAATCAAAATAGCAATAATTTCAGCAGCAATAAACAAACAAATGTCTTTCTGTCTCTAGGAATGTCAAAATATAAGAAATGTAATATTACTCTTTAAATTAAAATAATGATGTATTTTGCTCAGATTTGTGTAAAAATGACATTAAATCATTAAGCTTTATTTAAATATATTAAAAGGACTTTCATTTGCCTTTGTATAATTTAAAAATAATCTAACTGAGGTAAGGATAAATAAGTAGTAAAAATAGGTACAGTCATGCATAAATTGTGTTATTGAGTATTATTATGTTTGTTATGATAAATAATTTTAAATTTGAAAAATACACTTAAGAAGAAAAAATGTTTGATTGAGCACCAAGAAAAGAAATAATAATGATTCTGTAATAATATGTACACATAGTGAAACAAAATTTATCAGGAGAAATTAAAATAAACATAAAATAAAGGAGTAAATCATTCTACTGAAGAGGAGTTTTTGTTTTGTTTTGTCCATGCAGGTATTAAAATTAATTTTCGAACCAGTAAAAGCAAAAACTTTCTAAATCCGGATTACTTACTATCATACATGTTAGCTGCTCCCATGTAGACTGGAAGATGATGGTCACCACACGGACAATACCTCCCATCTGAAAGTGTTTTACCTTACTGGTTTCGAAAATCAACTGTTTGAAGCATAATTTACTTTTTAATCTATTTGATAACTGAATTATTGGTTTTGTGAGCTCAAGCATGACTGTACAAAACAATGCACATTTTATTTAAAAAGTACAATATTAAATGGATAGTCATTATTTTTTTCTTTTAATGTTTAAAAAAAAATAAGATAATCATTCAAAACTTTAAAATATAAAAAATGTGACTAGTTTAAAATTCCAAAGAGGATATTTAAAATAACCCATATAATAATAAAAAAAAAAATTACAGATATTTAATTTACAATTTTAAACATAAGGGTAAACTCATCAATCTGATGCTTGTTAGTGAAGCCTAGCTTGCTTTCTTAAGCCTTACAAGGATTTTATTACTCACAAGTCATGAGAATTTAAATTTTAAGACATAAAATGAAAAGTAATGAACATTATGCATTTAACTTTTTGAACATTAGGATAAATAAAGGGATAAGCATTATTAGAATTATATGTTGAAGCTAATTTCTTAAAAAAAAAAGTTATTTTACAGCATTAAGGTTGAATTTTTAACAAAGAAGAACAATTAAATTAATTATAACTATAACATTGCATTTATTTATTCTTAAGCTTCATTTCATCAAAAGTAAAATTAATTTTTTCAAGA